ACAGCTCAGAGATTCCTCAGTCTTTTTTCTTTCCACCCACCCAGCCCGGCTTCATCTTCTCCATTACCTTAAGGGTAATGTGACATGGAAGTGTTATTACAAACCGTTCCCCTTACTTTCATGCTAGTTTATTTACCATTCTCAATAGTTATTAAGAAGTCTAACTATTGTTAAGCTTGGGGCCCACTGGTTACAGGGGCTCCCCAAATTTATATTGTATGTAATAACACAGGATCCATACTTCCACAGCCTGAATAGTTAATGACATCAACAGTAGCTGATGGACCTAATAGAGGTCAAAGGTCAGTATATACACACACAGTATTATCACTTACTAGCTCCTCCAGTGGATGATACTGACGTTGATTCATGTACTACATTAGAGGAGGAGGTAGTAGGATCTGATCAATATTAAATAAATAAACAATTGAAATGATTTATCTATTACTTGTTGAAGGAGAAATAGTTCTTAGTGCTCTAGTAATAAATAGTGTAACAGGATCAGCAACTCCATCCAGTGGTACAGAGTAGTGTAGTGATGGTACAGCACCAGATGATGCATAAACTGATATTAGACAAGATGGAGGAAGAGGATAATTAGCTTCACCAAAACCATTAATGTCAAAACGATGCAACTAAAATAATAATTATGAATGATAACTGATTTCATTACACTACTTACTCTACAAGGCTTAAGGTGAGGCAATACAGTTCATCCATCAGTGAATTGCTTCTCCTGTGGAGCATTAAAAATTAATTCAATGTAACCATCATCAGATTGAAACCGAAAATAAATATTTTGTCCTCTCCTAGCATGAGGATAGTCTTTCTTAATATACTATATAATGAATATAATTCATGAACAAAACACAAGAAAAATTCTACCTCAAGAAGAGCATTCAAATCTTTAGCTGCAGTGAATGTGACTTGGTTATCATTGTCATTATAAAAGAACAGTCCAGCATATGCTGCTGCTCCCAGTATACCAGTAGGAACTTCTGCCAGTAAAATAAAATAATGAATCTTTGCTTCATACAAGTATTTACCTTTGCTGGTGGAGCTAGAAGCAGTATCAAGCTCAAGAGTAGCTTCTTCAGGTCGCTGGTCCTGTCCCGCTGCTGCTTGTTGCTGCTGGTCCTGTCCCCCTGCTGCTTGTTGCTGCTGGTCCTGTCCCCCTGCTGCTTGTTGCTGCTGGTCCTGTCCCCCTGCTGCTTGTTGCTGCTGGTCCTGTCCCCCTGCTGCTTGTTGCTGCTGGTCCTGTCCCTCTGCTGCTTGTTGCTGCTGGTCCTGTCCCCCTGCTGCTTGTTGCTGCTGGTCCTGTCCCCCTGCTGCTTGTTGCTGCTGGTCCTGTCCCCCTGCTGCTTGTTGCTGCTGGTCCTGTCCCCCTGCTGCTTGTTGCTGCTGGTTCTGTCCCCCTGCTGCTTGTTGCTGCTGGTCCTGTCCCCCTGCTGCTTGTTGCTGCTAGTCCTGTCCCCCTCCTGCTTGTTGCTGCTGGTCCTGTCCCCCTGCTGCTTGTTGCTGCTGGTTCTGTCCCCCTGCTGCTTGTTGCTGCTGGTCCTGTCCCTCTGCTGCTTGTTGCTGCTGGTCCTGTCCCCCTGCTGCTTGTTGCTGCTGGTCCTGTCCCCCTGCTGCTTGTTGCTGCTGGTCCTGTCCCCCTGCTGCTTGTTGCTGCTGGTCCTGTCCCCCTGCTGCTTGTTGCTGCTGGTTCTGTCCCCCTGCTGCTTGTTGCTGCTGGTCCTGTCCCCCTGCTGCTTGTTGCTGGACTAATTGTTGTTGCTGCTGACCTCCTCCCCCTCCATCTCCTCCTCCTCCTCCTCCTCCTGTTGGAGTACCACCAATCATGGTCACCATAATCAATCCAACTATACACACCAAACAGAACTTTGTACGTTCGATGGACCCATACCCACTATTAGAGCTAAACTCTCCTCCCTTAACTATAGAGAACTGGTAAGGAAGACTGGGTGTGCTCACGGGAGCTATAGCAAACTTTAAAAATCGTGCAAGACCTGGTTGTCCCTTCAGATCAATGCAGTGCTCAATTTCTAGTCGCAACGGCTTGAGGAGAGACTTGGATAATGAAACAGCATAAACAGCACTCACTAGTACTGTATTCTTTGGGAAGACAAATTGTCCTCCTACAAGAGCAACCACTGCTGCTTCTACTGTCTCAGAGGACAATAGACTAGCTTCTTGTACTCCAATCCTTAGACCATATTTCTCCCAATTAATCAGTTGAGGTTTGTCTCCTTGAATTAAGAACAGCTTCTTCTTGGCTACCTGGACTTCACTCAGACAATCCAATTTATCTGTCAATTATACAAAATATATACAGTGAGTACACACACAATTGTATACACTCAGTCAGTCACACAATAATACTCTTACCCATTGAAGGGATCAGGTAATTAAATTGTAGTCCAATGGAACTAGTCTCTTTAATAGGTTGCTTGAGGACCCTCTCTTGTCTTTCCTTCACCAGTTTAGCTATGTACAACTCCTTATCAGACACTTTAGCTCTAAGGTCTATAAATTAATAGAATATTAATAATTATTATTGATTGATGATGATACACTAACCAGTAATGATCTGATTCAACTTTTCCTGTTCTTGTCTCATCTCTTCTAATACACTACTCATAATATCATTACTATTATCACCTTTAACTGAATAATAATATAAAAGAAGAGAGTAATCAGTATATGCATAATAACACAACAGAATATACAGATAATATATGCACATCAAAGACTGGTTTAACCAATGTACAAACCATTAGATAATCATATTCAATATTATTTCTAACTTATACAAATTTGCACTGCATGTACAGTAGCCCATAAATACATGTACTATGATTATTGCTAATCATACCATATATGGTAAGCAGAGCTCACTCTACATGAATCTCATTATTTCTAATGCATCCACAATTTGACCTATATTGAGTACAGGATACTATTTCCATACTCAACATTGTCAAGAGTATACAATGGAGGAGGAGGGTGTCTTACTTGCCTATACTGCATTGATGCATGAGCGCGTATCAGCTGAATGTCACAATCCGTTTTACCTCTGTATACTATTTCTATGAATTTCATGAATAAATTATTAGTCATCTGACTTGGGCATGGTTTCACGTGTTGATTATTAATAATGGCAGATGCTGTGTGCCTTCTCTGACTCCACTTTGATTGCTTCTACCTCAGCATCTTCCTTGGATGCAATTAGAGAATGCTTTGAGAAGGAAGAAGGTTATGTTGTTACAGCCAGTACTTCGTAGTCCATCTCTAATCATACACATCTGCACATGCTACTCGACATGCTACCACGTGTGTAGTATAACCACGCCCAAGTCAGATGACTAATAATTTATTCATGAAATTCATAGAAATAGTATACAGAGGTAAAACGGATTGTGACATTCAGCTGATACGCGCTCATGCATCAATGCAGTATAGGCAAGTAAGACACCCTCCTCCTCCATTATATACTCTTGACATTGTCTAATCCACTAGTATCATAATGTAAACCAGTACTAATACACACACTCACACTACCATAACCACACAATACTACATAATAGTAATCAGTTGGTACAGTTAAAGTGTGTGTGTGTGTGTAGTATCCTATATACCTTGTTTATTGGCCTCAACCAGTGCCTCCTGTAGTGATACTTTGCTCTCATGAGCCACTTGTAGGTCTTCATGTAAAGATTGTATATCCTTCTCTGTGGAATATTCTATTAGCTGATCCATCCACCATGTTCTGGTCTTGCTGTACGATTGATATTTTTCTTGATAGTTCTTACTAGTGAGATCATTACCATCCAGTACTGACTGTACTATCCACTCACCAGCTTCACTATATACTGAGACACAATAAGATACATTATATATTTATAAATAAATGTATTTAATTTATAAACTAATGGTATCATTTATAGTGGTTATAAATACACACCCACACATACAGTGGTATTGTAGTGTGTACAGTATACAAAATGAATGGAAAATGTACGTCATATTAGGAACTGAAATTTACAAATAATGTACATACTATAAAAATGAGTGGCACATTATTTAATGTAATTATGTACATGTATTTAATGCTCATATCCTTACAATTAATTAATATTATCTTACCTAATTCAATTATCATTATTAGTCTATTAGTATTAGTGATATATATAGTCCATGGCACCTTCTTTCCTCCTCCAACATCTTTCCATTGAAACTCTTTACATCCTCCAACAATTACTAGCCATACACAGTGTGGTGACATTGTGACTGCTGTGAGTGAGTGATTGTATCTACCAGTAACAGATTCAGGTAGAGGAATCTGTAGATAAAGAGAAGTATACAAGTAATTACTGATACATGATGTTTATACAGTTACTTATAAAATGAGAAATTGTATCATTTCATATCTAGATGATCATTACATTTATTGTAATTGTAAAATCAATTCTAATCCTCCCCATCAACAAACAAAATAAACATTTTTATTTCACATCATGTGAAGAATAACAAAATATGCACAAATTTAACTCATAATATCAAGAATAGGAAATGTTTTAATAGGACACACGCACACACACACACACACACACACTAAGGTTGGTTCACAAAATAATGTAAAGTGTAACTTTTAATCAAATGTGTGGGTGGTTCTATTATATAGTTAATGTTTCATCAGTGATAGAGTTATCTACTGAACACACTAACAATTACTAATCTATCATCAATATACATCAGTACCAGACTTGGGTCAAATACAATGCGGAAGTATTTAAATACAAATACAAATACTGTACAAAAACAAAAATACAAATACAAATACAAATACTGTTTTCAGCTTTGTATTTAAATACAATTACAAATACTGCATACATGTATTTCAATTACAAATACAAATACTTTCTTCTCAAGTATAGACAGTTATTAACTACGTAGTTTTATGAATTAATCAATCAAGTAAATTGAAAGCCTCTTTTTATTATGCATGCATATATAATTAATAATATTTAGCTATAGTCATGTATTGCATTTAATGAACATTAGTGTTTCAAAGTTTTGTCACTCAAACAGCATCTTCATTCACATTGAAGTATTTTAAAGTATTTTGCTGTATTTTGAAATACTTCCCTGCTGTATTTCAATTGCAAATACAAATACTTCCTGTTACAAAAACTCAAATTACAAATACAAATACAAATACTTTCAAAAGTATTTAAATACGACTAATTACAAATACTATTTGTATTTGACCCAAGTCTGATCAGTACTAGTGTCATACTCTCAACTGACCTAACTATACACACACACACATCATTACAGTACTATACACACACATACCTTCCTACAACTGTACTGACCAGTAGTGATACTATCAAATAACAAACATTCAGTAACTAGGTGATTCTTCTTATCCAGTCCACCAATCACTACTAGTGTAGGTGAGGTAGAGTCACCATTGATAATAGCACTAGCATGATCAGCTCTCTCCATAGGCCACAGTCCCTCGTTAGGTATTGTTCCTGGTTTCAGTATCTCCCAGTTCTAGATACATAAACAAATACTAATAATATTAGTCAGTGTAAATATGAATAATGGGTGTGGCTATACAAATAATGGGTGTGACATGTAAAAATTAATCCTAATATTTAATACTTTGATGTTAATGAGGTGAGGTTAGTGGTTGTGTTTAGTATTATACATGTACAAGTACTGGAGGTATAACAAATCTATTGGTACACAATATACTTGATAATATGAAATACCATACTAAGCATGACTATACACTGTCTAATTATGAAAATATTTTATGTAGTATCAGAATTTTGTGAATATTTAATATAATAATACACAAAATACAGTTAATATGAGTACAACACAATATATCCTCTAGTGATAATACTGAGGGAGATAATGTATTACTGTACAATACAATACAACAAAATATAATACAACTTACTATTATACTATGTGTCACACTGAAAACGTAAACACTATTAGTAGCTGTAGTCTCATCACCATTAACAGTCACCTGTCCACCAAACATTACTCCTCTGTTACCGGTAGTAGTAACCTTCTCAATTATGAAAGAATCAGTTGGTGGACAACACTGTCCACTGACAGATGGAACAGTGAATTGTCCTAAAGTGAAGAGAATACAGTCATAAATAATTATTATCATTAATATAATTCTAAGTACATGGACATGTAATATTTATCACAATTGTGTACAAAGCAAATCTTACCAGAGGACACATTATAAAGTAACTGTTCATTAGTACGAACACGACCAGTCTTAAGTTGATCATATTGAAACTGAGGATGGTAAACAGTTGGTGTAGAACCAAGCCCTCCTATTATGACAAGGTATTCTGCTCCATCGAATTCCACTGATATCATACCACCATAGGCTTTCTTCATCAACAACTGTTCCGCATTACTGCATGAAGTCCACTCCATCTTTATCGTATTCAGTACATTCAATGTATTGTGGTAACAGTCATCATGACCACACCATCCACCAAAATAGTAAATATTAGAATGAGAGGTGGTACAGGAGTAACCAGCGACTCCTAATGGAGGAGTACCTCTTGTTAGGTGAGAGGACCAGTCAGCAGTAGAAAGCTGGTACACATCAACTCTTGAGGTCAGTTCCCTCTTTTGAAGGGAGTCATGAACTCTAGGTAAGTCAACCTGGTTCCCTGCCCACAGGTAGAGGGACTCCCCTATTACAGGAGCTTTGTGATAAGCTCTCATTTTGGAACCTGTAGTAAATGAATAATGATAGAAATGAAGACAATGACTACAGAAGAATAAATAGAAAGAGAGAGCACGAAGACAGAGGAGGAGGGAAGATGGTAGGGAGAGATAAACTAACTTTTTCTTCTAAACAACAAGCCACACCTAACATTCCAACAAATTAATTATCACTTAGACCACCTCCTACTCATTTTTATTAGTGACCACGTGCAGAAACGTGGTCATACAGCACTGCTCTTGAAAATGAATTAATATTCTACACCAATTACATGTATATATGCCTATATGGATGTACATGCATATGCATGTTTATAATTTTTACTGAAATAATTCTATTAGATAACCACAGATGGGATTTGATTTAATGACAAAACAAAGTACACTCAGTAAAGTATCATGATTCATGAAAGTGTGTAAATGTGTTCTGGTATTATTAATTCTTGGGATTCCTTTGAGAGTGGGAATAAAGTCATCTGTATCTTGATATCAAGTGATCTTGAACAATCCTTGTTCTTATAGCAACTGATACTACCACGTAATAAATCACCTAATATTAATAATAATAATAATAATATAATCAGGAGTGACATACTTGTACTGTTGTACACACAAACAGACAGATACATTAGGAAAATTTGGAGGGAGTTAAATTTGGCAAATTTGGTGTTTTGCTAGCAATTCACTGAAACAAAAATCTACCATTTTGATCAAATTAAAGCTTGTCAATCACCAAAATTTAGTAACTCACCAAAAATTTAGTCCCTCAATCTTAAATTTCCTACTGTTAGGTAAATTTATGATACTGACTAGTACTTGGTCCAATTAATAAGTACAGACAGTAATAAGTACATTAGTCTTAAACCAGACCCACCTGTTTGAACTTGTATGGGTTCATTGAGGAAGAATATCGTCTGGTGCCAGTGAGTGGGTGTATCTTGAGGACTAGTACTGAAGTACACAGGATAAGAGGGAACCTCAAACCCAATGTCAAAGTATCCAACAAGACCCTACAACATATTAATAATAAACCAGACCTTAGGGAAAGCAACTGTTTAGGATAATAGAATAATTTTAGTGTCAAAATTTTGAAGATCAGTCAAAAAAGATCTGAAAATATAAATTTTTGTCTTTGTGCATAATTCTTTCTGGAATACAAAGTTATTAATAATTCTATGCTATTTACATGTACATGTACTTGCTTATCATTGACTGAAATTGTACATGCATTTGATACATGCATACATGTACATGTAATAGATTGATAGACTCACATAGCAGGTGTCATTTTGCTTTATGGTAAGCGTGAAATTTGATTTGAAATCAAGATCACTTGCTTTGACTGTCGTTATATCAAATTTCTATAAAAATAAAATAAAAATGACTGAATTAACCTATTTGCACATAAAATAATTTTAATTAACTGTGGGGAAGTATCAAAGGCACTACCTATTCATAAAGCACATGCAAGAATATTTTACGCCCACACAGATAATTATGTTCCAAACCTTAATGACATCGGATGTTGAAATGAGACAATACTCATCAACTAGTTTGACTGTTGGCTCAAGTAATACTTCATCTTTCATACAAGACATTTTAAAACCTAAAAATGTAAAAACATTAATCATTACAAAATTGAGTAGATACATATACATGTACATGCATAATAGTTTTAATGAATCTACATATATGACTTACACGTACATGTACATATATGTACATAAGTCATTTTCGTAAAAACCATCAACCTATTGCTAGAATTTAATTCTTTTCTGTTTAAATCCTGCTCTTGCTACAATGATAATAATAAACTACTTACCTCTAACATTCTCCCAGAATTTGATCTTTGAGTTATATTCATATCCATCTCCCATGGCAACAAGACTCATATTACACCTGTTAGGATAAACTGATGAAAAGAGAGAGTGAGAGAGAAAAAGAGAAAATTCAATAATTGCCAAACTCATAATTAGCATGTTCCAATCAAAATTCTTAAATTTGATCAAAAATTTGATCAAAGTCCCTGTACATGGTGAAACTCAGGCCAAATTTTGCCAAAATTAAAAAAAAGAGAATTCTCCAGTTTTATATTTTCTCCAGATACATATACATGCTTTTATGTTGCATAACAAGTTTGAGCTGATTCCGATTAAATTTAGATTTTTTACAAATTTCCAAAGTTACTCAAAAATCGGACAAAAGTCCTTGTACTATAGTACTGGGTTCTTGGCCAAATTTCGCTAAAAATGACTAGGAGAGAATTCTTTATTTTTATATTTTTTTCTGATACATATACATGTTCTTATGTTGTGTAGCAAGTTTGAGCTGATTTCAATTAAAATTAGATTTTTAACAAATTTTTAAAGTTGCTCCAAATGCCATGTACTGTATTGTAGTGCTTGTCAGCTCATGAAGCTCATGCTGTTTAGCTCACTTAGTATGCTTTGTGGGGAAACCTTGGATTTAGCAAATTTACATTAATACATCTCACCATTTTTCTTATCAATCAACCACTTGTCCCTAGCATACAGGACAGTATCAAGCATAGACTCAAATAAAAGGAAGTACCCCATCCATTCTGATATCAACACATCAACACTATCAACTGGTAGCCTAACACTCTCCACTTCTCCTCTTATAAATGTGATCTTATCGTCAACCCCATTCTCTCTTGCTATCTCTACTGCTTTGTGTATGATTGGTGATTGGTCTATTGCAAATACATGACTAGCGCCAGCTTTAACTGCAAAGAGGGAGAGAATACCAGTACCACAACCAATATCAAGAACAACCTGTATAGAAATGGAATGAGGGAGAGAGAGAGGGGGAGGGAGAAGGTAATAAAAAAGAGACAAAAAAAGGCTGATAGCTACGTGTACATGTATATTATACTTTATCTTTAAATATTTCAGTGTTTTTAGTAATGAATAATTCATAAGAATCCATTCTAACTTCATCCTAAAAAGGAAAGAGAGAGAATGAGATAAACTTTAGGTGCATGTACATGTACATTGTAAATAGGCACAGCACACTGTCACAGTTTTTAGCCATATGTACATGTATGCATAAAATGTATATGTATACATTTAAAATTACATGAACTTTACATGTAGGTGCACATAAATAGGCATAGCACACTGTCAAAGTTCTTAGCCATACATATGTATAATAATGTACATGTAGACATTTAATGTTACTTTGAGCATCTCTTCATGAATGCCATGATGTCCATAGTTGCTAAAGTAACTGTCCTTCTCCTCAACAGCAGTCTCCATGGTAACATCAGGATCAGTGCTACTGGTTGTTAATTCTCTCATTGTTTCTCTAAAACAATTAGAAGGAGGAATGAGAAAGAAAAGACAAACAATAAAGAAGAAAATTAAGAGACAAAGGGAAAGAGAGATGTATATATACATTCATAAGAAGAGGATAAAGGAAGAGAGATAGAGGCTCCTCTGTACTTCATTTGGTTGAGGTCTTTAAGAGCATTGTCTAATGCAGTTCTGGTAAGTAGGAGCTGCTTCTCAGTAAGCTCCAGTCTGAGAGAGAGAGAGAAGAGGACAAGAAAGGAAGAGAGAGAAGACAAAAATAGTAAAAAATGAGGAAAATATGATGGTGTACAAATCAATTTACATGTACATGTACATGTATGCAATAGGACTCTTAAAAACTCATTGTTTCCCATAAAGCATGAAACAGCAAAATTCATAAAAATTTTTAAGGCTAAAAATTCATAAAAAATTGAAATTTGATCGGAATCAGTTCAAACTTGCTACACAACATAAGAACATGTATATGCATCAGAAAAAATTCTTAAAACGAAGAATTCTCTCCTAGTCATTTTTGGCGAAATTTGGCCAAAAACCCTGTACTATAGTACAGGGACTTTGGCCCAATTTTTGAGTAACTTTAAAAATTCTTTAAAAATCCAATTTTGATCGGAATCAGCTCAAACTTGCTACACAACATAAGAACATGTATATGCATCAGAAAATATAATAAAAATAAAAAATTCTCTCCTAGTCATTTTTGGCGAAATTTGGCCAAAAACCCTGTACTATAGTACAGAGACTTTAGCCCAATTTTTGAGTAACTTTAAAAATTCGTAAAAAATCCAATTTTGATCGGAATCAGCTCAAACTTGCTACACAACATAAGAACATGTATATGCATCAGAAAATATAATAAAAATAAAAAATTCTCTCCTAGTCATTTTTGGTGAAATTTGGCCAAAGACGCTGTACTATAGTACAGGGACTTTAGTCTGATTTTTGAAAACCCTGATCTGACTTATACCTTTCTTTAAGACTTGTATCTCCCCATTCTTTAATCTTTTCCTCTTCCTCCTCCTCCTCCTCCCAGTCTATTTGCAGTAATGGATCATCAGGTACTACTGGTACAAGATACTCTTCACTCTCAAAATCTTCAACTCTCAATCCTTTAACATCAGCCACTGCTAGACTCTATCCATTAGTATTATGATACAATAACTGTCATTGATATTATTGGCTACAAGTACATGTACATGCATAGCTGAAAAGATTTGCAGGACTTAAGTTTTGCCAATAGATCCTCACTTAATAGATGGTAAATTTAATTTTTGCTGGTGTAGGCGTGAGCTGTTGATACGCCCATTAACTATTAATTATTAATGCTATTTACCCTACCTGCAATAACAAATATTTAATGCAACCTTCAATTGCTACCAGTTAAAAATAAATAAACAATTAAATTACAATACCCAAATAAGGCATTAAAAGTACAAGACATGTAGCACTCAATTTAAAATTTACACGTATACAGTTTATAATTTACACATATACATGCACAAGTAAAATTGTCTGTCATTGTTAGGGTACAGTTGAGATCCTAACTCCGAGTACTTCAGGAAGATCTGCTAAGGATTTTACTACTATTGATCAGCTCATGGTGTTGGAGGCTAGTGTACTTTACATACAACATGCACATGCAATTATAACAATATGTAATTGTCCATGTAATGTAGTGTAGTGTCATTATAGCGGAATGTCACTGGGCTATACATTGTACATTAATTATTTCATACTTTACCTTTTTCCTTATATAATTAACAAGCTTTATCCAGCCATAGAAATCAAGCTCTACAAATATAACTATCATTACTCTACCATTGCGATAAAACTCCTTACTGTAGTGGGTTTTTAATTCAGTCAAGTTTATGTCATGTTGTTTGAGGCAGTGAGAGAGAATGGGTTCATTAGCAACTGGTAGAGGCTCAGAACAGAAAGGGCAAAGAGGGCGAAAGGCTTCCTCCTTCTCTTCGACCTCTTCCCAGCTCTCTTCTTCTCCTTCAGAGTCGGACATGTGTGAAAGCACTTCTTCTTTTAATTATAATTAAATTAACAATCACCACTCCCATATTATTTTAGCCACTCCCAACACAATCTAGGCACACGTGCTTCCACGTGGGTAGCTGATAGTGCTGCTTTCTAAATGTTATTATAAAATAACAGTACATATATATATATATATATATAACTATCTAAGAATAATTGGTGACCTCTAGAAATACAAAAGTCTTAGTGGTCTACCAAAAGCTCTAATTAAAATTATTTAAAGTTCCCGTGATCATTTTTCAAGCACGGCAATAGTAGAACTCAAAGCTTTCAGCATTATCAACTGCTTTATCTGGTTCATCACGGGCAAGCGCTTGACTGTCAGTGACTCCATAAGCATAATCTTCAGTGTCAGCTCCAATGTGAGTCCATTCGTGTGCAAGCGTTCCTTCTTTACTGGTACCGCTGGTCCTGCAGAAAGTAGGATCACTAACATATATAGCACACAACCAAACTGTCACATTGATAGCAAGTGCCTGCATATGTATCACTGTCACATTCGCTTCCTTCGAAATCATATTCTACAGATTTGACTTTACGAGCACGTTTATTAGTATAAGCACCAAACCAGAACCTGTATGTAGCGTTGTTGCCAACTTTTCTTCTAGCTCTAAGATATTTACGGCACAACTTCTTATGGGCTTTAGTAGTAGCCTTTCGAGCTGATGAGGAGCCACCAACATATGTGGCTACACTGCTGCAAGATTCAATGTAAACTTGATCGCCTTCTTTTGATCGCCTGAAACGCCGTTAAATCAAATTGATTTGTGGTAATATTAGCACTGCCACATTTGTCATTAGTAAAATCATTATTCTGGTTTCCTTGTTGCCAATGTTATGTCGGGGTGTTAACGAGTACAAATTGCTTGTACAAATGATTATCATCAAAAGTTGGTAATCAACCACACAAGAAGATGGTTACATAAATCGGGACAGGAGAGAACAATGGAGAACAGAAATAAGATCAAAGAACATGTGACATAACAGATTGTATAGACACATAAAAACCACAATCTAGAAGGTTCTACGCATGCATATGTTCACAAATTACATTTGCATACAATTCAATATTAAGCCTAAAGCATAAAATATAATAATACCAGGTTACCACACAGCCCGTCGCAGAATTAACTGGTGTTCCTGCATGTGATTTAGGTCTGACAGTATGGTTGAGGTACCTTAATTGGTACTGGTCGTATGTATACTTGTATTGCAACTATAAATGTAGTTGGTACTGAAACTAGTACTATACGGTAAAATTTGAAGTGAGAGGTACTGGAACTACTTCAACTTTACATAATAAAAATTAATGAAATAAGTAACAGAGCAATAAGTAATGAGTGACAGTGATGATGAATGGCTTATCAATGATAATAAATGCTATTATTCTAACTTAAACACAAATTAAACTTACATCAATAACTTTATACAGTATCACAAATGCTAGCAATTATAATTTAAGAGGTTATTATACTGCGGAATTGTATATATTTAACAAAGTTAATTCAGAGAAAAACAGATGACACGTACCACCATCTATGGCTGTATGTGATCTGTTCTAGCATTCCTCTTATGACAATGAGGCTCATCTCTTTCTCTAGAAATAGATCTACAAATGTTCACTTCATCATCATCATCGTCATCGTCGTTTGAATCAAATTGAGTTCTGACTCTAATTCTCTTCGGTGGTGGTTGTTTCACTTCTCTTTCCTTTGGTAATCGTTTTCGTGCTTCTGAGGGACTCCGTGAAGGATCTAATGATAACAATTGTAGCAACATTAATAATGTTAACAAGGGATAATACCTCTATCATTAGCTAATGCAAGGTGTGAATTGTCATCTACATGTATAGAAATTAGCAATTGATTATGATACTATAAAAAAAGTATTAACTTCTAACCCTCATCGTCTGACCAAGATACAGCTCCATAAGTAGTAGTGTTTGAATTTGTACTCATGTTTTGTATGTCTTGTGCTTCTGGATACAAAAAATAAAATGGTTATTATAATTATGTAAAAATACCTTCATCTTCTGGTGAAGAAGTAAGTAGATTATCAGTGTCCCTTTGAGGTGCATTTAAAGATTCAGCAATTGTTTGTAGATTTTGCGGACTCATTGACGATGGAATCCTCCAGTAGATTTCCTATTACAAAAAGGCTAATAACATTTTTCTTGTGTGATTGTGTACCTGCTCACTGGGTGGCATTAGATCAATTGATATCATTAATTTATTAAATACTGTGGTTTCCAATGCCTCAGCAATTGATTGTTCTACAGGTACTATACACAGTTCTTCCCATTCAGAGTCCAATTCTCTGTCTTTTGCTTCATCATTGATGTAGGTACTAAGCCAAGCCAGTTGATTAGAATAACCATTAGCATGAATTGCTTGAACTAATGTATCAACATTTCCTTCTAGGCATATTAATATCATAACAACAATAAAATATTAAAGTAACCGCTGACTTTTTCCTTTCTTCTTCTTGATATCTTCTCTTGGTTCTGTCTCTAGTGAAATAACCTCATTTTCTTGGCACTTTCTTTTTCTGGATGAAGGTTGCACCAACCCAAGGTTCTGTAATTGTTTCTTAATGTCTCTTATATCTCGTCCTATAGTGCAGCCAGACATAAAGTACATTAATTACTGTACAAGATGATTTACTGGGAAGGAATTAATATTGGTGATTGGCAGTTCTATGAAAAATCATCAATATAAAACCCGCCCTTTTCTTTCAAACTGAGCATGCCCGATGGCACGTGGCATAACATTGCCAATATAAAATCCGCCATTAACTTTCCACGGGGAAATTCACCAAATATTACTCTCGCCAATAAATCATCTTGTACGGTATTAGTGAAATCATAGATTCAAACCTGGAAATGAGCACGACAGCTGTTCTATAGATAGAGTAATATTGTCAGATGGTTGCCAAAGTGATTTAAGTGTGGAGACTTCTTCTTCTGACCATGGTTCCTATAATACACAACAATCCATTTACAACAATAGTGTGTTAATAGTTAAAATTATTATAAGCACAGGGTGTACTTTGTTAGTTTTGTTCTCATGCAATTCTTTGCTGCTGCTAACTAACCCCTTTGAAACTAGTTTTGACACGATCTAAAAGTAAAATATTATAACTACTGTCAGACAAAAGTGACTATAATTACAATTCCTCTTGTCCTGCACTGCTCACTAGGCAAGGCATCCAAAATACAGCCCACTATGTCTATTAATTAAAGTATAGAAGTAAAACAGGAACAGAGTCAGTACCAGTTTCATTCTTGAATTGTTCATATAAGGAAGATAACTCATTCTCTTGTTCTCTAGTCCAAACATTTCTGCTTTCTTTGAGATGCCTAAAAGCAAATGAAATGACATTACAACAGTGGTTCAAACAATGTAATACCGTAGGACGGGATATATTCGTGGCTGCAATTATTTGCGGTGGTGAAAAATTCAACTAAAAATCATGGAAACCGTTAGAGCGTTGCTATGACAATAACACCACATTTTAAGCGTCCAGTTATTCATGCATTCTTTAGCAGCTTTAGTGGAGCTATTTACCAATAGTGACTCATTCTCTGACTGTTAACTTCTTGTATGGGCCTCTGCCTCAAAGCTCTTTGCTGCAAATTGTTGCTGGTCCGCGTGCTGGTGATAATCAAAGATAATAGAGTAAATGAAAGGGACAGGCATAGCAACAGGAAATGCAGGTTGGGTTACCACGTGACAACCATCAGTGTTTTGATTGATTTCCCATCTCCTCGATTGGTGAAGTTGCTCTGGAAGAATTCTGAAGGAAACTTGTGTTGCTCCAGGATATATCCCATTTCACATTAGAAAGTTTAGAGCTACCTGAAGCAAGGCTTTCGTCTCTGTAAAGCCATTTTGCAACCAGTTATAGGTACACAGTCACCTGTTCTTGAAACACTTATTATTCGTAAAACACTCGCTCATTATAGTATCAATGAGCAAGTTAGATCAACATGAGTCTCTCAGAGGGCAAAAATGGTATTTTTAGTGAAAGAGTGACACAGCTACTAATGCATGCATTGATTTACTAAAAAATACTAATAAAAAGCATTAACACTGGTTAGCATTAATTGTGTTTGAGTTTTGTTTGCATAAATGGCATCCTCTTGGAGTTATTGAAATACCGTAGGTCGGGATATATTCGCGGCTGCTTATTTTCGCGATTTTTTCCCGCACTCAGCAATTACCATGGTTACCAAATGCAATTTTAATTGAAAAACCCGCGATATTAATAGCAAAGGACTCTGTTGCAGTGTTCTTGGGCTGTTGTTCTTCTTGCTGTTACTAATCCTTGGTCTCTTTGGAGCTGTTTCAACCGGAGCTACTCTCTTCACTCTGCCTCGCCGTATCTTGGCCCATTCTTGGGACTCTCCACCCATTTATTGACTTGGGCGTGGTTAATTATCACCAGCAAGTGGAGCGGCAAGGATTTGCAGCGAAGAGCTCGAAGGTAGTGGTCCATACAAGAAGATAGCGGATGGAGAACTGGATGGCTCCCACTAAAGCTGCTAAAGAATAGATAAATAGCTGCTGAACACTGTAATTGTATAAACACGTGGTCTTATTGTCATAGCAACAATCGATTGGTTTCCATGGTATTTAATTGAACCTTTTTATTAGTTTTTATTATCGCGAAAATAAGCAGCCGCGAATATATCCCGACCTACGGTATGTTTATACCCAGCACTTAATTGCACAAGTCTTTTAAATGGGAAATTTGAAATCTAGGCTACATGAAGGCAACTAAATGTACCAACTACACCTACCCACCCATACCAATTAATACAGAAATCAAATGTTAAGTGTGGGTAATAAATTTTGCAATTGTACACATGGCAGAATTTTCTGGTATTAAAAATTGCAATGAAGTACTATACGACACCCAAAATCCCCAAAAAAAGAATCAAGAAAATACCTTTTGCGCTGAATGGCACCATAACCTTCTTGAAGCTCATAACAATCCTCACAAGTTTTCCAAATCAATAGCTCTGCAAACATCATAGCATTCTGTTGAGAAAGAATAAAAAAATCTGCAACTACACGCGAGCTAAATTCCTGTAACTCCTAAAAAAGTTGACTCAAAACTACTACCAGTAGTCTATGTCTAACTCGGTATCTTGGGAGGGGAGGTTCATCCAAAATATCAGAGAAGATTCTAAAGAGAGACATTTGGAAGAGCATAGGCATCATTTCATGTTTAATTGATATTGTATGCAACATCTTGATTATAGCATGATTCAAACCGTCAGTGTTGCTTTTGTAGTTAGCAAGAGCCAAACTATAGACCTGAACAATCTTATCATTAGCAAACCTACAACATATATGGAGATCTCAAGGAATTCAAAACACTCATCTTACGCTGCTGTAAATCTATTCAAATCCATTTCAAGTCCAATACTTGTAACATTCTCTTGGACAGCTATTTTAGAGACACAATCATTAGAATAATACATGCGACGTAAATTAACTAACATCGTTCCTCTTCCTCTTCATATTCATGGCCAGTGGTTACTAAGTGAAAAAATGAGACAATAACTAAATTGATAAATAACTGACATTACATAGCAATGTCATACCTGATAAAGGATTGAAAAATATTTCTTTAAGCACAGAGATTTCTTTTGATGGCGAAACCATGTTTGAACCAAAAATATCATCAGGCCATACTTCACTAATTTAGGACAGGGTGAAAACATAAAGGACACATTAATATTATACCAAGCAGCTTTCATCATAAGTACAGCTTCCCTAATGTTCTGAGTCTTAAGATTTTTATGAATATTTTTCATTACTTCAATCCTTAAGTAGTGCTGTCAATTTCAGGTAGAATAATAATTTAACTTACTTCTGCTCTTCAATTGGGGTATCACTGGCTCCATCAAAAGGAGAAGGTAGCTCACTAGCACCAGCAGTATTGGTTATGACATGTTGGATTTCACTTTCCAAACTTTCCCACATCTCCATCAACTGGTCTTCAGTTGGTGGTTGTTGAGAGTTAGTTTTTTTTTTTGCTGTAGTTTGTTCCATTTTCTTTTGAATAAAAAGTTGCCCATTTTGCTTAAAACAAAGCTTGACCAGACGCAAATAGACATGAGTCATTTCTATCACATCTTGCAGGAAACTACGTGGCATGATAGCTTGATTGTAAATTTGAAGTACCATCAGAAAAACATCACGGTACTCTGGGTGATACAGCAAGTCCCTCAAAATGACTTTTGAGCTCTGAACAACAGTATCATCTTTGGATTGTATCATTTCCTGAACATGTAACAGCAATTCCTTGTAAGCTGAAACTGCATAATGCAACCTACATGTACAGTTAATTGATACAAACTCAAATGGTATTATACAACAGTAATAAAACCTCAATTATCCCGACATTGATAATCAATTTCAGACTATTACTGAAAGAGCATGACCATTTGGTGTATTACACTTACACAACATAAATTTAATCAATTAGAATATACATGTATATGTACATGATTGGCAGTACAGAGCAGATGGTGGAGTAGTGAGGAAATGCTGATAATGATTTTCTTTAGGCATTGGCTTGGAGTAGCCTTTCTCTAGTTTCTAAAGCTTAATCATCACATGTATGAATTTTTCATTAAATTTATTAAGGGTCCTGGACAACTGAGGTTTATACCATACATGCACAGATTGTATAGTGCACAAGTTGGCGGAGTTTTATTTCGGTGATTCAAGGAATAATGATAAAATTGTAAAAAATAACCCACCATTTGTTCTTATTCTCCATGGTGCGTGGCCGAAAATTTGCCAATATAAAAGTCGCAAATGCAGTGTACATTGCAATCATAAATCGTCGATATTAAGCGCCAAGTATTACCACTATACATACCTCTGTCCCCATTGAATTGCAGCAAGTCTTTCTCTTTTCTTCATACATGTACAGGTATGCTCATAATATCTTGCAATTAATTGTAACACTTGATGAACAGTTGGTAATTGAAGTGATTCACTAAAACAGTGACTGCAATTAGTTGCAATAAATTGTTATACTTTACCTCACAATATCCACACGAAAATTTTGCAAACGACTGAACTCCATAAAGAATCTATAACGAATAATAACGCACAAGTTATTATCTTATACGCAACTTACCTCATTGCCCATAAATAAAAAGTCTCAACACTCTCCATTGAGTGCTGCCTCTTAATAGTATCCTAATGTTTGCATTGGAATCGTGTTTGATTTGTATGCTGCAATACATGTGCATGTACATACTTTGACAACTCTCATGAGGACATTAAAGCAATAATCAAGCACTTGAGCACAGATATTCTGCAGTACAACTCTATTAAATATATTTATTGCATTAATTATGTACATGTACATGTACATGTACCTAATGCTGTAAGTAGAGGGTCTAGATTGGCAATCGGTAACCAAAAATTTCCTGTTCTTTGGTATACGTGTATGTCTTGGCCTGTTCTCAATATCAAATGAATTATCACTAAATCCTAAATTGAGAAAACAATAGTGAATAACAATCTACCTCATGGCTACTTTTATTAAATGTAAGTACATGTGTGTTTATGCGTACATGAATCCTTTTATTTTGGCTAATTAAGGCGTAAAATATGTTGACAATTTTAAAAAGCTAGTTGGAAAATAGCTAAGGTAGCATTTCCACACTAAACCTTTACCAGCTACATCTCTTCCCTCTGAATGTGTATTTAGCACTACTGGAAATATAGTCACTAAAAAAAGAGCTTATCTAGTTCCAGAAACTGTTAATATGCTAATTTTTCAACACCAGCTGAGATGTGCTGGTGTTGCAGTCACAGAACCTATTACAATATTGGAATCTAAAAAAAGGTAAGTCCTTTATTGTTGGGCGAAGATCTCGATCCAAGTTCTTTGCTGCAAATCCTTGCTGGTGATACATGTAATTAACCACACCAAAGTCAATAAATGGGTGGAAAGTACGAAGAATGGGCAAGACAGAGTGAGGAGAGTAGCTCTGGTTAAAGCAGCTTCAAAGAGACCAAGGATTATAATGACAAAAAAGCACTGCATCAAAAGTGCTTTGCTATCAATATCGTGCCTTTTTCAATTAAAATTGCATCTGGTAGCCATGTAGTTGCTGAAGGAAAAATTGTAAAATAAGAAGCTGCAAATATATCCCGACCTAAGGTGCATTACTGATGCGTACGTGTACATGATGTGCAATTAATAACTAGACGAATGTAAAACATTGAAGGGGCGAGCACGAGCATACACATGGACTGACTTGCATGCATGGCTCATCAAAAGAAAATTTTATAGCTTACTCTTCTACCTTTATTATTATTAGCAAAAAATCTTAGCTGCAATATAAGCATAATTTAACTGTATAGCTAAGCACAGTACTGCTATAGGCGTTCTTTTTTGATGCGAGTATGCTTTTGGTGTGTCTGGATAGAATAGTTGAGTGCATAAATCAAAGTAACATTTTGGTTGCGGTTTGATGAGCCAATTAAATAAGCTTTTTTCTGTCATTCAACCATGAAAAAAGACTTTTAAGATTTATATCTGCTTTCTTAACTTCTTTCTGCTGGAGAAGTGCCTGGACAACAAATCAGTCTTATTTTGCTGCAAGTAAGCTTCAGTAAGATTTGCTCCAGTTTCATAACCTTGATAGTCACCATTTTGTTTCATTGCAACCACACCCACATCATGACATCAATGAAAATATTTCATTAGAATGCTACCGCATTAGATCCTTGATTTTAAATAGAGTAGTGGACACATGGGTGTGACCAGAATAGACTGGAGACGCACGTACATACATACATACATACATACATACATACAGAGGGAGGGAGACTTTGCCTGAGTGGGGCGAGCTCATGCTCACCCCAATAACAGTATTATGTTGTACACATACATGTACCTAGCAATGGTCTGTAGCAGATCGACTTTTTTCCACTAGAAGTAGTAATATAGACACCTCCAAAATTTGAATGTCTAACAGCAGTAGAGTTTAATATTGCTATAAAAAAATAAAAGAGCCATTACCTTCTACCAAGAGAGCTTCTACCGAATGTCAGTTGTGATCTTTGTTGCTTTATTCTTTCAAGTTCCATCAGTTCGTAAATTTTACTGTTGAAATTCAATAATATAAACAACATTAGCAAGGCTGCAATAGGCTATGTGGAGCGGACTGGAGCCTAGGACAAAAACTCTGATTAGGGGTTCCTACTAATACAAAATTACCCCTGGCCCCCTTATTAATTACTGTATAGCTCAAAACCTTCGAGGCTGAAAACTTTCACGAATTTCGCGGTTTAGGCCTCAAATGCAAAAATTTTCATCGCAAAAATTCAAAGGGGTGAATTTTTAATAATAAAATGTAAAGTATATACAAATATAGTTTACTAATAACTTAAGGCTTGGGGCCCTTCTTTGATTAGGAGCTCAGGGCAACATGCACCACTTGCCCAGGCCTATTGACTGCCCTGAAAATTAGATATTCGCAACCAGGATTGGGGTCATTTGCAGGTAAAGGTATTATACAATATACATGTACATGTACATCCCAAGTTCCCAACTGAGCTTGACTGGAAGTGGAAGCAGCTCTGTGGAATTTGGTAAATGAAGCCATACGTCATTAGTGACGTGCTATAACGATATTCACAGAAGCATGGCTGATATTTTATAGCTGCGTGGTTGGCCTGTATTTCACTCTTAAACAGAGTTTTTTTTATTTTCTAATAACCATTGCGGTCAGCTTTGGTATATGCTATTGGGTTTATAAAGAGAATCCGGTTCTCAGGATTCCCAAGGGCTGAGAGACCCAAGACCTGAGATCCTGTGAAGGCATTGGACAACTAGAATCTATGAAAGTTTCATCCTTATCCCACATTCCTACAAAAAGTTATTCCAGTTTTTCTTGGGTCAAACTCAGTTGCGACACATTACTATCATTTGTACATGTAAAAATACAGTTTGCTATTGCTATTACTGGGGCACTGTATTACTATTACAGTTACAATGTAATCGACATGTAATTACTGTTACAAATTCACAATACATCTACATGTACACAATGCATAATATATTGAGTACATAAACAAGAAAAAAGTGCAAGAAATAATTTGTGTGGCAGTACATGCACATACTACCAAGAGTAGATAATAGAAGAGAGTGCCCTACTGTGATATACCGCCTGCTTTATCACGTCATAGAATTGAAGAGTCACATTCAGGATATTTTCAGTATTCTTGAGTAGTTATTCGAAAATAACTAGCAAAAACTGAAACTACTCAATAAAAATATGGAAGTATCCTGAATGTGACTCTTCAATTCTACGCTGTGATGAAGCAGGGGGTATATCACAGTAGGACACTCTCTTTTATTATCTACTCTTGATACTACATGTATAACATGTTACCCCATACAACTAACTTTTCATCATTCTGCCTCTCTGCAAAAGATTGAGCTACCTGTACAAGTACGTCAGCTGTTGCCAAGTTAGACGGTGTCTGTAAAACAATGGCTCATTATGATTATAGGACATAAAATAATACTTGTTCTCTCAGTAAAAGGAAGACTATTTCCAATACATGTATGCACCACTGAGTCTATAGCAATAAAAAAATTACAAAATAGCAATTATTGCAACAATACCTTATTAGGATTACTACCAACGAACAACAATAACTCAAAAATTCCATTAATGTGAAGATTCCTATGAGTTCCATAAAACAGTTATACTTGTTACTATTCATGCTTACCAAATTATTTGACCATGGGCATCGACATCATCATCTGTCCTCTACAAAAGATTGTTACAATACATACTGCATAGTATGGAAAACCATACTTTTTCTTCAGCAGGGTCAGATGGTATATGTAATATATTTCTGAAAAGCAAGAGTATTCTATCAATAATAATATCATCATCATCATCATGATCTTCACGATCCTATAACAAATGATCTCAATTATATAGCAGAAATTTCATGAATAACTAGCCTTCCCGCAAAGCTCAGCCAAAATACTGCCGAGAACATTCATGACACGTTCTACAGTAAACTCCTAGAGTAATAATGTACATGTAGCAACGATGTAGAGAATGAGTACTTTCAACATGTACTTTTTTATACTGTTGTAAGTACTGCGATACTTGAATCATGCATTTTGCTGTGGCTGGATCTTTATGACCATGAGATTTACAAAACAATAAGATGACTGGTTGAGTAAAGTTCACTAGTAGCCTACAGCAAGACACTAAAACTCATGTGATAATATAAAAAGAAATACCTTATAATATCATTTCTTAAAGGTATGTCATCATTGAAGTAAATTAACAATGGAATAAGATCCTATTATAATTAAAACAATAAATTCATTACAGGGACTCTTAAATGAAGACCAAAAAACAATGGTATTGTACATCATATATGAGGACTACCCCCAGCCACTTAAGGTCGAGGATGGATTTGTTCGAACATATATAAAAGTTGTGACTTATGATTGAAACATACTAAATGCTTGACAAATTAACGAGACTATTGGTGCATTAGCCTCGCCAAAACAATTTTTAAAAGCAAAAATGTTTGTTTTGCTGAACACTTCTAATCACAAATTATAGATATACAGCAAAATACACAGACCTTGCCAATCTATGAACTTTAAAGGGGACTGTCAAAATTGAGGTGTCTTGTATTGTGTGGTCACATTAAACAAACAGTCCACCTACTTGACAACTTGCCAGACTGCCAGTGCAGTTTGCAAGGTCTATGCAAATAGCTGTATCCCCAGGAACCCTTACCTCCTGCAGTACACGAGCATTCCCAAGACGTCTACGCACTTCACAAAGATCATTATCATAGCGCAGGGCTCGAATAAGATGTCTTACATAAGCTAAAGAAGTTAATCCGTAATCAGCCCCATCCACGAATCCCTTCTTAGTTCTTACCTAAGCAACGGGGGCCTTTATAATACTTGTCCTTAACTTTCGTGACCAACCCATGGTAAGCTACCATGAGTCGAATCAGTTCAGGTTTAGTCAGGCCCCGCCTGACTAGCTCATGTTCGGGCGAGTGTTCGGGTAACATGTTCATGTCCGACATGTCGAGGTTCATGTTCAATGTAATGTAATGGCCCGCCAAATTTGCCAAAAATGAAAAATGTGACAGTTCCGGATATCTTTACCACGTGTCCACTTAATCGTACACCTCCGGCTACATCCATGTGGAAAATTATTATGGATAGACCCTTGCCCAACATACATTACACTATGCAACATTTGTTGCAAACAACTTGTTGGAAGCAACACAGTATATACAGGAGTCAATGGAGCTTGCAAACATGTTGCATGAAATAGAAAACAGTTCTATTTCATGCAACATAATAATTATTGTTGAAATCTCCATTGACTCCAGCCTGTATAAACTGTGTTGCATGCAACAAGTTGTTTGCAACAAATGTTGCACAGCTTAAAGTGTGTTATGACGTTATGTATCATAATTTATTCCCAGACATACATGATGAAGTATTTACACGCCTCTTCACATTATTGCACTGCCATGTCATAAATAACTATTTTTTCAAATTGCTTAAAATATCACAGTCAAGTGAATTCCAGCGGGCAAGTCCATTGCACCATAGTGCTTCATATTACTAACATTAAACAAATCTAATATACCAGGCATTTCTCTTAGTAGTTAAGAAGTAGTGACCGTGACAGAGGCTGAGATGGAAGAATGAAGGAGGAGCATAAAGCTATTTTTTCCTTGGCTACAGAATGATGATGACATCATCATTCTGTAGCATCTTTTGATATACATTGAGGCTGGTAGTTAAAAAATTATTGATTTGTATTTTTATAAATTAATATTTTTTTCTACTAAAACATCACAAAACTGATTACTTAAAATAATATGATAACTACAAATAAAGTTATTTTACTTTTATTCTTCATTCTTCTTCATCATGCAATAATAAAAATAACTAATAATATTAAAATCATATAAAAGGAGCAATAATGAAGACTCCCTCCATCAGTAGCAGTGAGGGTAGTCGTCGGAGAAGGAAAGCGGTATGTGGAACTAGTGCTCATTCTCACACCAGAACTAGTACTGGTACTAGTAGGGCTTATCATTAAACTTTCACTGACTGTTGGCATAACTGAAGAAACAGATGAAGTATGCACTGCCCTTTCCTCAATCATCAATTGAAATACTTGACCCATTGGGACTTCAATGTCTAATCCGGTTAGTGCAGACTCTAAAAAATTGCTAACTGGTGTACCTATGACACAATCATTATAATTATAGTATATATTTCATAACATGATCATGTAATTTAGCTGGAGATACATCTTTTAATTATTACCTAAAGATTGAGCAATTTCAACAAGCTCAGTTCGATTGAAAGAAACTACAGGATTCAAATCTATAAAGATCAAAATTATTAAGTAATTCTTACATTAATTAATAAGAGTTTACGGTAACCTTGATTTTCAATGGAGTCATCAAAGTCAGTTCTCATATTATCCATTTCTTGATTATTATTACCATTCCAACACCTTCCTCCTGAGTTAGAGTTACAAAAGTGAGGGAGACGACCATCTATGGGCATATAATACAATTAACCTTTGTATAATCTAATATAATGCATACCATAGGAAAATGATCCATTCAATAAAGTTGCATTTCCAATAATGCTTTTTGGCAACATCACAAAAGAGTTCAAAGAGCGTCTCCTACGACCAAAAATATTTTTGCTGAGTAGAATGCCACACTCAGCAGAAGCTGCACTCGCCTATAAAAATATTTACTCTAGCAACTGTATATTAAATATCAAGCAATGTCTTACAAATGAAGTTTTTCTATTTAAAATAAAATGAACTAATAAAGTGAACTTACAAATGACATGAACTCAGAGTCATCATCAAAATCAATTGGAAGGAGGTTTTGTTGTGCTGAATAAACCTCTGGTAGAGTCGATTCGATTCTATCCAATATCAAACGTGTAGCATTCCAAAGGATGCTTAGCTGATCAGTGAGGCCTTGTTTAAAAGGTGAGTAGCAACCTTGAGTGATGTGGCTACAAACACTTTGACATAAAGGAGGAATAGTTTGAAGACAAGCAGCACATTCAAGTGCAATGAAGCCAGGTACGCACTGAGAAGGAAATCCAGTCTGTTCAATTAGGGCAATAAAATTCCTTTCATACCAATCCTTAATTCTATTTGTCGTTGTGTAGTACAAAAGTAGTTTGTCCATTTTTGTATCTATTGTTTGTTCAAGTGTAGAGTTGGTACGTTGTGTCAGTAAATTTCTTAGGCAATTTTTATGAACTGTGGTTATTGTACCAGTAAATGTAAATTGTCTAAGGTAGTCATCAATAAATTTGTCTTTTACCATATTAAAGAAGCTATCAAAATATGGACCATAATTGAAAGTATTGCTTGAATTAAGGCCATCAGTTAAATTGTTTGAAAAAGAATTTATCAATTCTGCACGAGACGAAGAACTTAAATGGATCATTAGTGGCATTCTGGAAGCAAAATCAGGAAAAAAATCAGACCTGTAAACTATTAAAATAAAACAGTGCAATAATTCATCATTCATTTTACCTCATTCTCAAAATTATGTATCAGCACTTACAATTTTCAAGATCAATGACAATTTGACTTAAAATTTCAAAGTTACCACTCAATAGTTCTTCCTTTAGGCTAGCAGTGAGGTTCATTCGAATACCTGCTTCCTTTCCTCTAAGATATTCATCAGTGCAGCACTGGAGCATGTCAGTTTGACAGTAAGGCAAATTATTACCTACAAGCAATCAATACAATTATTAAAGCCCCCATACACTAGGCAACATGTTGCTTGCAACATCTGTGGTTACTTTGATCTT